TCCCACGTGGGTTTCACCAAGCCCTACGTCATTTGAGTTCTTTTCCTTTCAAGATATTCTCAGCTGACACATGCAGTACCTAAGAAACCACATTTCTGTTGCTTCTATTTTATTTTCACTGTCTTTAGAGATTGTCCAGCATTCACAGCCATATATAGAAGGGTTGATCATACAAAACATTTCAGAACTTTCATTTTGGCAGTCATTGAGATGTTTCTACTTTTCAGGATTAGGACAGAAATAACGTAATAATATTGTAGCAATTAGTGTGGATCACGAAGCAAGAAATATTACCACTACTTTGTTTCAGTGAAGACAGACGTTTATTAAAATGTTTTGCAGGGAGATGATCGAAGTGAGCGTAGTAAACTGATTGGAATGGATTGAAGACATTTTGTCTGCTGTACAATTTTCCTGGCGAGAAGAAAGATCAAGTTAAATCTTTCTAGTTCTGTTATGGAATTGTAGCCCCCCCCCCTTTCCCCCCGACCCCGTAAGCACACATGGCAGTTGTGCATTCCCGGTTATCAATTTCTTTTTACATTAGGCATTTTAGAAACGTGCATCAAATACAGTTCTGAAATAAAATATATACCAGTCACCCAAAAGAAGATTGAACTTGAATATTTTGTGCGATGTTTGTTTTACAAGATCATGTAATTCGCTCTTATTTTGATTTCTGTTTTTTGTTTTTTTTGTAGTTGTGATATTTGGGCAAGTTGCAGGTTATTCAAGACGTGGAAAATCAAGCTCATTTCCAGTCTCCAACCCGACCAAGGGATACTTCAATGGGCATAAACAGTTGACAAATGGTCCTTTGGTGGTGAAAGATGGGCGGGAGGGTGGGGGTACCTCCTGCACAGCTAGGTAATTTTACCGGCAGAGCGAACATCGGAAGCCCCAGTAACTACTACCAACATCTACAAATCGTTACCATAGTTAAAGCCCCTTTCAAGAGAGGAGGACGTTATATTTTTGTTAGTTTAAGTTTAAGCTTATGAGTTTTGAAATCACTCAGCTCTGTGACAGTGAAGGCCATTATTGAAATTGAAGATACCGACCCCACATAATGATAGTTTTGTGCTTTGGCCGTGGGACTGGACGAAATATGTCACCTCTATTTATTTTCAGTCCTTAAACTATCGCACTACGGGCTAGGTCAACCTGCTGGTCCTCAATAAAACCCAGTCATCAGCAGCCGGAGGTATAAAAGAGCTGTGGTTTTCTCTTATAATACCATCAATAGGCGCCATTGCCGCAAGGAATGGTATCCAATTAAAGGCTTTTACTACAACGTAAGCAAACTGACTTTTAAAAAAGTCTTTATAATATTTATAAATCTAGCTTGATAGCAGACTTTTTCACTCTATCTCCACTACGTCCCGTTTGAGTTGAAAGAAACAAAACCCAATGACAAGAACCCAAGAACAACTTACACCTTCCTCTAAATTGGGAAACATTAAACAATACGCTTTACTCCACGACAAGAAAGCAGTGGTTTGAGCAGTGTAATTCCCTGTCTCTAGTAAGTGTGATTGTTATGGGTTTAACGCTGCTATCAACAACAGCAGCTGTGCATTAGGCTATTTAAGACGCTCGCTCCCCCTGAGGCGAGGGGATACTATATTATGTGTAAATTGTGCCCTCTCGACTCGTCGACTCGAGTTCGAGGATCCTGTGTCAGATTCTTCGCAAGCTTAATATGACTCGAAAAGAATACTCGGGGCAACTGATCAGGGAGTAGAATGCTGCATTTTTAAAGATCATAATCTGTTTGCAACTTGCAACCTACAACCCACTTACAAATACCCTAACATACCTGCCACTATACTGTCTTCCCACTTTACTTCCTCTCCACACTTGTCTTGGCCCGATAGAATAGGCCTGACACTAACAATGCCACCTTAACAGAGACTGTGCTCACCATTTCGGAACTACACGGTGACCGTAAAGATGGTTCGGGTAGGGAACGGGATAGAGGATGCCCACGTTCCTTATTACGCAATCCCATATCATCGCTCATCACCACCATTATTTCTAAAATCATCACCGCTCTCAGATCAATGACTTACATCTATAATCCTGGAATCTCTATCTGCTGTAACAATTACTTGTTATACTAAGTATGCACGTAATCCACTATTGGACACTATCATACGCACTTTTTCCCTTCTAATCAGATGGCATCAATCTCATACATATTGGCAAGGGATTTAAAAAAATGTTATTTAGGAGACAGGCCCTTTGAATTTAACGTTCGTCTCGGATATGGGTTGAAAGCACATAACAAAAACACTCAGTGAGGGGTTTCAACCACGGCCTCCGATCTACATTCCAGTATGATATAAACTGAGCTAACAGAGTGCCATCCTATCTCTGATTCTGTAAAAACAATGGTGATCTATCCAGCTACCGTGTTGGTTGGTAAAAACAAGTTGTACGTGGCTGGATCCTATGTGCCTTGCCCCACGACTGTCAAGATATCAATATCATTATCAATATCAATATCAGGGTCAGTTAAACCTCTAAACGTTTAAACACTTTGAAAACCTGCTCAGACAACTTGTTAAAGGACCGGATTAGGGTACTTTGCCAATCATATTAGAAGAAGAAGAAGAAGAAGAAGAAGAAGAAGAAGAAGAAGAAGAAGAAGAAGAAGAAGAAGAAGAAGAAGAAGAAGAAGAAGAAGAA